AGTAAGAACCAGTCCATGATAGCCGCCACTCACCGATCTAGTTCGTTTTTAAGGGACCAGTAATGCTGTTGACGTACCCCAATTTTGAGAGAAGGAACTCGGTTGAGCTGCAGCGTGTGGAGTGGATCACCAAGTGCAGAGATGCGGGATTTAGGGAGCCCAGCGGGAGCCATGTCTTCTTGAGGTGCCTTTCCGCTCTTCAGTTGTCTGATGAAAGCGACAAGCTTTGGTTTCCTTAGATCTTTAAAGTTAACATCATATAGTATCGAGGCTGAACTGGCCTCGACGTTTCCAGCTTTGATTGACAGGTGGTTTAACAGGCACTTAAAGTATCGGTTCACTTGCTTGCTATGGTTCCTGAGATACTGAGATACACGTAGCAAGGACTGTTGAGACCGAAGGTTTCCTGAAGCCGTGTATATGAGTCGGAAAGGTTTGAGACCGAAGGTTTCCTGAAGCCGTGTATATGAGTGAGTCGGAAAGGTTTGTTCAGATCACTAATGCTCAAAACGGATTTCCTGTCTGATGCCACATCCGACCAACGTGAGATACTCGTCCGTCCTGGCTGATCTAATAGCCCCTTACCACAGATTGCAAAAACCAGCCGATTTGTTGGTATGAGTAGCCGCTGCCTTCTTGAATGAGGAAGCTGTTCTTTTGGCTACCCAGTTCATGCTATGTATTTGCACTTAGCTCATCATCATCATTGTCAGCTTTAAAATAACCGCGTACTCGTCGTACAGTGGTCGTAGCTGCCGCAGTTTCGTTCACCGATGATTTGAGGGGGGGAGGTGGCTGCACGTTGCAGGCGGGAGCTGATAAGTTGGTGCATAAATCCAGCACTGTCAGTGGGCTGTTGGAAAATGAGGTGTGCATTGAAGGTAATAGCTTGGATGCACGAATGCCATTGAGGTCGCGACTGGGTCATGTCTGACAATGTCTCTAACCGTCTCAGGGTCTCCATTCAAGAAGACGGCAATGACCAACCAGCTGAGTTTGCTGGTAATGGCTTTTATACTTCGTTGCCAAGTCATTGTTTGACCGCCTCTGGCTCTCTTCCACGTTTCGCCCTTCGAGGAAGTCGGTCGACTGCCATACGCAGCACGTGGCCAAGCTAACTTAAGCAGTGTGATCAGTTCATCTATCGAGGGTAAGTTATTTTTCCCGAATACCATTGCTGTTCCGGTGTTCCCACCAGATTCGGGCATTGGGTCGGGGACATCGATGGTCTGGAGTAGCTTGTAGTAGGTTTGTTCAAAGTTATCCGCCGGTCAGCTAGAAAGCTGGAAGACTTTACCGTCTGTTCCGGGAATTGTTGTTTCGGAAATTGAATGCTGATTCTATAGACGGGTGAGTGGTTCCGCTTTTAATCCAACCAAGAGTTGGAGTTTAATTCTGGCGCGCACACTTGTGTGTTTTGTGTTACCACGTGCGTTCCTGGAATCCGCACCTTTGTAAGATCTGCAATCTTCCATTGACGCGGCTCTTCATGCGCGCCGAAAACACCTGTGAGACCGCGTCATTGTTGCTCCAGTGCCACTTGAACTGCGGTAAAAGGGTCTTGGTGACACCGAGATAAAGTTATGTTATTTTGCTTGTTTAAACAGTTGTTGCTCCAGTGCCACTTGAACTGCGGAAAAAGGGTCTTGGTGACACCGAAATAAAGTTACGTTATTTTGCTTGTTTGAACAGCCGTCCCCCTGTTCCAGCGTAATTATTCCAGTGAGTCCACACCAAAGGGGAGCATTGGACTCGAGTTTCGCTCTTATTAGAGCTCATCAGCAGTGCATATCCAATGGCCGTTTTGGTTGCAATTTTGGGGTTTTGCGGGATAAGCATTTTTTTCATAGCCACACCACTCTCGTTTGAACGACCGTGTTCCTGTTCTGGCGTGTTAGATGTTAGATGTTATACGAAGCTATGTTTATTAGCCTTTGACCGTTTCCACAACGCTGACCCAATCCAGGCAGGCCAGCTATCGTCATGCCCAACAGCTCCAACGTTTCATTCCTCCGTTGCTTATACACCATCGGTTGTAATTTTTCACAAACCTCGGCTTTTACGGTTGACAGCAATACAGAAATGGGGGCATAAACAGCTATTATAGGCAGGTTCCAGACCTTCCCTTTGAAACGAGCCGCTGAGAGGCTTGGAACTACAGGTACATTGTTGACAATGCTAGTAACCGCAACCGTAACACTGTGAGTACCCGGGTTGTCGGCTGGTCATCTGTGATCAAGTGATTCAAAGGCGTTCGATCTGGGAACCTGTGTTGATCGTTGACCAGATTTAAGTAACCGAGCCTCCGAAAGATGACTGATATCTGATCAACAATTATAAAGTTCACTTATGCCGACTCCTTGGTCAAATAAAAGTGGGATAAGAACTTTCTAATGACTGGATACATCAAAACCGAGAGATTTAGCTGGGTTCCAAGTGAGTCTCTTGAAAAAACCAGTTTAGTTTGCAAATGAGTGTATTTGATTAATGAAGAGCTTCATAGTCAGCTGAGATTCCCGAATGTATCACCCCAATCACTGGGCCAGAAAAGGAGGCCTCGCTTTCCGAGGACGCCTAATCATGATGAGCACTGAAGTCTCGCCTAGATTGGTTATGGATTACCTGTCCAGCTTTCGGTACAGGGTGAACCTTTAGCGTTTGTATAAACAAGTACACGCTGCAAAGTAACTCAAAACATGCGGCGACATGAACATAGCTCGATCCATTGGAGATTATTTGCGTCTTCGCTGTTGTTGTTGTTTTGGAACCAGGGTTTAGTCAGGTCCTCCAGAAGGAGGGTCAATAGACCGTCAAGCAGGATGACGTCCACTTTCGTTGTTCCACTCTGGTGAAAGAAATCTATGCCACACGGGAGCAAAGGGCATTACCCGCCCCCGACCATGTTGAGGCATTTGGAGGCCATTGCGGGCCGCGGTACGGCGCTTCTTGTCTTCTAGAAGAGAGTGGCTTAGGCTTCAAGACAACGTACGTTGAGTTAACTATATGTAACCTATTTAGGAGGCCTCCATTCACCCAAAACCTCTTCCCATCTTCTCACTTGAACAGATGAACTGCTTGCCTGATGTCAACGTTTTTTTTCACACTCGCCTTCGCAATTCGATGCCATCCTACTGCTCCTGTTTTGTGGAAATCGCCTAATCCTGTTTAATTTTGTCTCACGCAGCTTCAAACAAATGTATTCGAGGGGGTTGCGGATATTTCTCTCAGACAAGATTCGTTTCAATCTCAACTGAAATGCATCGAACACCAACTTTTGGAGATCAAGGTGAGTTGTCTACGAAAAACAATCGGCTTTGGAAGGCGATGATCATGTCTAGAAAAGTTACAGTGCAGTAAACATAGTCGAGATCAGCTGTCTCATCAATGCCTGGCCAAAACGTTCTGCGGTTCACTTTGTGAATAGCTCAGGAGGCAAGCGGTGGTACATGGGTAAGGAATAGTTAAACAGCCATCCTGCGAAATCAGTTTCCACGGTACCCGACTAAAGTTTTCCAGAGTTTCTTCCTAGTACGCATCTGGTAAAAAGTATTCGGTTGTTTGCTAAGCCAGCCTGAAACCTTAGTTATGCCGGGATGATGATCCGGATATGGACTTTGCTTCACAAATGAACAGGACTGTTCCCTTCTTTCCCAAAATCATTCCTTGGCTCACTTCCATTCGGCCGGTGCGGTTCTCTAGTATGGATGAGGTACTGGTGAAAGGAAGAAGGCCTTCGCTGAGGAGTTATTTATTAGAAGATGCCAACTGATCAGTTACAGACTATTGGACTGGGAAGCAAAACTCTCATATGCATCTTGTTTACTAAAACTGAATATTCATCTCCTCCTTGAACGCGTCTTCTTGAACTTTCCTGGATGTTCAGTGACTGTTGCTCAAATCCAAGCAAATGCGACTCCACAAGTTCCGTAATAGATCTCACTTTTCAACAGATGCAAAGCGGAGTTACGGGAAAACATACTACTCACATGCCCCCAATCAGTAGTATCCGCCGTTACACCGGTAAGGAGATGGAGATATTGCATAGTGACCAACGGAATAATCGATTAAAAGGACATAAAAAGGGGTTCTTTTTGCAATCTCCTGTGTTTTATCTTGGCGTGTCTTTTCGTTCACTTCACGTGTATTTAGTTTAATGTTGCTTTCCCATAATAAAATATAAACACTGCTGGGAACTTTCATCAGAAATTGACGAAAATTTGTTTCAATTGTTTGGTTCTATGATCTGCTAACCAATACTGAGTTAACCGGTTTGGAAATTCTTTTTCTATTTAATTATCAATTAATCGGTTTTCGGAGCGGCGAGGCTTACTTGTACGAAGCTGTTTTGCAATTTAGGCAGTACAGTTATAACTGTGCATATGACGAAAATTTTTCACACTTTTAATTGAGGTCACACCCATATTGTTCAACACTGTGTCCCATCTTCGCTAGATATCGATTACTTGGCCCTTCTTTCCGGGTCATAAAACGAAGCAGGCTGATTAACCAATCCTGGCCCGTATCAGAATACCTGAAGGTCATTCGGAGACCCCCTTGGCTTTATCGATCGGCCACGTTAAAGCTTAGTCCCATATAACAGATTCAACTAGCCCTATATCTTGATTGGGCGAGATGGACCAAGTGGTTAGAGTGCGAATTTACTGACAGGAAGGTCCGTGGTTCGAGCCCGACCTGTGCCTCTCGACTTCCCCTGTCTAGATTTGGGCAACCTGGCAGTATCCCAGCCCTCGTGCTTCCTTCGGGTGGCATGGCAGCTAGGCACCGAAAGGATGTCACAGCTGAACGATGATGATATCTTGATTACTTTTTTTTATTTTACATTTTGAGAAGTATCCATCTCGCAAGGTGTTAACTTTGTTCGCTTTAGCGGTTTGCAGCTTTCCTCACCCGTCTAGTCCCTCGTACTGAGAGGAGGCAACCTGTAAGCGTCCCTTAAAAGTTCTGCACAAGTGGTTTCAGGACAGCATCGAAGCGGCCTGAAAAAAATTCAATATCATTTGAGAATCAACACAACTGAAGCAAAGCAACGCAGTTAACAAATCCAAAGTTCGTCATGTTCTGACAGGAAAGAGCGTTGCACGTAGAATTTTTAGCATGTTTTGTATGCACACCGAAATTCAGCGATCCGATAGCGGGTGGTGATGACTCGATGTTCGTTGTCTTGCTCGCTGAGCTGGGCAATTTGTTTGCTGTCGGTTCAGTACCAGTCGAAGTGCGCGATGCGTTTTCAGGAAGCGGGGCAGACTGCGAACAAACCAACGAGAGTTTACGTACGCTATCTGAACCAACTCTCCTTGATATGTGGAAGTCTCTACAGAAAGCGAAACTTTGTGTGGGAGGAAACACAGTTTTATGATTCTGGTTACTGCCAGGGTACTCATTCTAGAGGTACTACTGAAAACGCTCCTCGTGGAAGAAGTTGAGTAGGAAACAGAATTTAGGCATTTCAACGTAGCCAACCGTAAAAGCCACCCGTAAACCCACCGCGACTGTTATATAATAATGAAATGTTCTCGACACCTTGTCGTTCCCCTAGTACGGACAAAGTTGATGGCTAATTTGACGAACCCGCCTAAAGTAGTTTTTTTTAATTGGCGGTCAAAATCTACCCACCGCCCTGGTATTGATACTGTCATTGGTATTCATTTGACGGGTCAGAGATGAGTGAGTTCCAGACTTGTGAGTGCATATACACACCGTCTACATAACGGACTGTGTTTAAAACATCATAAACAAGAGATCTAACTGGTTTCCGGCAAGTCTCCCGCGAAACCCGACGCGTTTGCAAATGAATGTATTTCGCTAATTTCGTGTAGTTTAGTTCCAAGTAGAACATAAGGCTGACGAAAACTGGAGGACTGCGCCTATCTGATGGGCCCCAAGAAGGGAGAAACCGGTCAAGGAGTTTTCAGGAACCTTATGAGTAGTGCATTACGTCTGGACACCTGTATTTTCTTATAAAAAATACCCATAAAGTTGCTGAGCAGTGCCCTTCAAGCTAATATACTATGAAGTATCGAATACCGTACGAATTAGAGCAAGCAATTCATTCACTCACTCCAAAAGTTCCTCTTCTTTGAGCTGTTGATTTTTTGGGTGTCTGCAATACTTTTAAGAAACACGTGTACTTTCTAGTTGCTCTCGCCTATGAGATAAATGAACATATTCCCAAAATCCTCTTCACACGCTATTCAGATATGAAACATTGAGCTTCTATAAAATCAAAATTCTCAAACACCGGTAATCTCTCTTGTTTTCATCGTTTTTTATAGCGACTGATAGTGGAAGAGCGCAGAATCGAAAAGCCGTGCTCTTCACAACACAACCTCGTGACCGGAAGCCGCCAGCCTCGAAGACTTTCTGCTGATAATCAGTTGCGAACGATTTTTCATGATTCCAGCTAGTCCACCAGAGCAGTCAATTGTTGTATTCATAGATAACCGCACATACAAACGCCCACACACGTGCACAGACGAGGTCCCCCCACCCCGCCCCGCCCACCAATACCACATTTTTGTAGCTCTTATTTTCCAACGGTCTTTAGTGGTGATCACACTGTACACATTGTTTGATCACACTGTTGCATGTATGGATGACAAGGCATTGATTCAGTGGTCCAGGACTGTTTAGAATGATACTGGGTCGAAAGCACATCGTACTTGCAGGTAGGAAAGCTACAGAAGTCTCAGTGTCCTTCCCATTTAAGGAGGGCATTCGTGATGCCGACGTGATAAGAACTTGACTCCCAGCGGTAGAGCGCCACAGTCCAATGTGTCCAAATTTATGAATCAGAAAGGTTATCGCTGCGTCTTTCTGTGTTGGACCCCTGAGGAATTACGCATCAGATTAGCCATGCTGAGCCACGTCAGATGGTTTTCGGGAAACTCCACTCTCATTCGATCGCTCAGTTGGTCGCACTCCACAGTTTATGCTGGTTAGGCCAGGTACTTCCTATGTCAGAGTACCTCTTGTCTCATACAGCCCTCTTCGCTTGGCCAGGGGTGATCAGTCCGTAACTTGGCAGCGAAGTATGGAGCTCCCAACCTAACCTAGGTGGGTTTGTAACTGCCGTCTCTCAGGTTGGAACAGCGGGTGGATAAGACAAGCCCTGACAGATATGACAGTCGCGCAGCCAATGACGCTCGAGAATCAGAGTTATCGCCCTCACTGCGTAGCTACCACCTCCTGTCATACTGAAAAAACGGATCAATTTATCGGCAATGCACAGAATGAGCCGCCGCCGTGTCCAACGTGTGGCTACTCTCTGCACCCTTGGTCAACGAAGCTGTGGAACCGCTGCGCTTCAATGGACGGTTTGTGAGCTGAAAATTTGAACTGACTGGACTGAGGATAGACTGGCACTCAGTGAAGCAACTCCGAAAGGGCCCTTCAAAAGACCCACCGAAAGTGGTGCTTATTACCGACGTTGGCGTTGATTTCCACTCTAGTCGGCAGACTAAAATAAGCTGTCTAAAAGGGCGGTTTCTCTTGAGTATCGTCTTAAAAGTATATCCAATTTACTTCTATGCACTGTCCAAAAGGACACAAATAAGAAATCCTTAGTTTTTGCACTAGATAGTGTGCAATCATGGGGAAATTGGAGCGGAATCACCGACAAAATGCTACTGGCAAAAACTCGCCCTCAAGATATTGGCCTAGAAGCGACGAGGATTCGAGTAGTCTATTTGACAAGACAAAATTACATGCAAATCATGTTCGCGAGTTTCGATCTTTGTCTCTCACATCAGTTTGAATCTAGTACCCCATGGGTATCCAGCCCACTGTGAGGGTCATGTAAAAGCCCCAGTGGTAATGCCAGTGGACAGATAATCTAGCATGCGAAAGTGCGACGGATCAGTCTAAAACTCAGTAGCGCACGTGTGACCCTGGGCATCTCAGTTGCTGGAACATCTTTCCAGTTAGCACCTCATGTTGACTCCTTTTCTTTCAAGATTCCCACGGTAAAAATTTCCATATTGAACCAGTAATAAAACTGTGATAGGGAGGAAACCAATCCACTGCTTGTCGAGTCCTGTGGCGGAGACGAACTGGAGTAAAGCAGAACCATGCTTCCGGCTTCTAGTGTGGAAAACAGAGTGAATAGAACAGAGTATCTACCATCGTCTTGTCTGTAGGCGTATGTTCAGTTTTCACCAAGTCATCGCCCTTAGGAGAGTCGATTCCACAGCTGGACCGATGACCTAAAAGGCGCACGGTCCGCTAGTTGCTAAAATCCACGCGGTCGAGTTTTTTCAGGGAAGCTCGTTTTCCAGTATTGCAACAGGTTGCGTCTCAGCATCCTTCGGTAACTGTTTTCCGTAACGTTCTGTCGAATTCCAGGTCTTCCCGTGACCTAGATTGGAAGCCTTCAAACCTACCTAAAGTGTCCCAACCGTAAAATTTACGGCGCTGTCGAAAACAAGATGCGAGTTTCGGTTATCCGGCTGCTCCAGGAGAAACACTCGTTAAACGCCCCATTAGCGCATTGTTATGGCTAAACTAACTGACTATCACGGATGAAATGATGATTCCGTAGGATATAAATTTACTTTTTGGCATCTTCACCCCACAATTCAGACATCAATTTGGGGAAAATGGACAGGAGCGTTGGATAAACCTATTTGGTGGGATTTTTCTTTGGTACAATTTAACACAAGCCTTTTAAACGTTGAGGGCCATACAGAGGCGTAATTCAAAAGACTAGCGATGTTGTTTTTAGGGTAAACTAAGATGTTCCGTTGAGACAGGCCGCAAACTGGGCTCAGGACAGTTATAACTTTGAGTCTTGTCAGCCGAAAAGAAGAGGTACCACTCTCCTTTATAAAACACCACTCACTATCTTTTTACCCTGTTCTCTACCATTACCTTTTTAGTAATCAATATTTTTTCTTTTAGCCAGCCAAACCTGGGTAGCGGATGGTCACATCTGTTTTGTGCGAAACCTTTGACTACTCATAAGTAGCAAAACTCTGGTGGATAAAGCAAAAGGAGAGCGCGTAAGCCGGATACCACACATGTTGTGCAAGGAAGATCGTATCCTACTTACTGAAAGTAAAAGTAAAAATCGAGACGTTTTCAGCAACCTTAAGAGTAGTTCGTTGCGTCTGCGGACTACCAAGGTTCCACTGCACTTCCAAAAGTTATTCTAATTGACCGTAAGAGAAAATGAGACTTAGCTCCGAGAATTTGGCCAAAACCACCTGATTGGTAGCTGCCGAAAGTGACTGATGGGAGGAGGTACATGTTCAGGGTGACCCCCAACATGCTGCTAGATGCACTGTACTAGTCCAGTTGGAATTCGTGAGCAAGATGGTAGATTTTAACAGTCAGTCGCTCCAACGTCGGTTGAAATTTGTTGCTCACTCTGTGTGCCTCGGCAAAAAACTACTTCAAGTGGTTTTTGGAACTAAACTATGGAAACATTCCTTCGTGAATTATCTTGGCCTTAAAGAGTACTATGCCGTTCGGTATAATCTTCAACCAACTATGCAGTACAAAGACAGTCTCAGTTTAAACTATATTTAAGATATCGAAGTAATTACCCCACGGCAGTACTAGCCATCTGAAAGCGAGTGTCAGTCAGCACGTGTGAATAACTTGGGTCTCCAACAAGACCCAACTCCATCGAAATCTGAAGGCAAGGTCCACAATATGTGCAAAACCGATGGCGAGCTGCCGTGGGAGAGTCCTCGTGAACATTTTTTTGCAATAGAGGAAAACTTGATAAATGTTTGACTACGAATATTCCTTCGGTAAGTCCACGTGAATTGCACAATGTGCTGATTCTATTTTACTTGTCCTCGGAAACGAAATTGTGGCCATATCACGTTCGATGTCTGCCACTTCACCTGGAACTGCGAATTCCAAAAAAAACTTGACTTCTTGTTATCGTGCTGCGATTTCCACTTTCTACCGTTCATCCATCAATCATGAGTAGAATCAGCTGAGGAAACCATTTTTAAAACCATTTTTAAAACCATTTTTTAAACGAGTTGTGAGTGAGTTAGTTCACGCATTTGTGCGCGAACTCCACCCGCCCCCCCCAGAGGGTTCTGCTGTTACATATCATTGGTTTGCTACGCACATCGTGGTGAACGTGACCTTTTTTAACTGAATCTCTACACATCCACTCAACCGTTCCTACGCCTCTGTATGGCCTTCAACGTTTGAGGGGTTCGTGTTATATTTTACTAAGGAAATATCCCATCAGATAGGTTTATCCAACGCTCCTATCCGTTTCCTCAAACTGATGTCTGGATTGTGGGGTGAAGATGCCAAAAAGTAAATTTATTCCTACCGGAATCATCATTTCATCCGTGATAGTCAGTTAGTTTAGCCGTAACAATGCGCTAATGGGGCGTTGGACAAGTGTTTCTCCTGGAGCAGCCGGATAACCAGAACAAGCATCACAAAACAACTTGTTTTCGACAGCGCCGTAAGTTTTACGGTTGGGACACTTTAGGTAGGTTTGAAAACTTTCAATTTACGACCTGGAATTCGACAGAACAGTACGGAAAACAGCTACCGAAGGATTGTGAGACGCAATCGGTTGTAATACTGGAAAACGAGCGAGCTACTTGGAAGGAGATATATCTTCCCTGAGGAAACTTGACCGTGTGGATTTTCACAACTTGCGGACCGTGCGCCTTTTAGGTCACCGGTCCATCTGCGGAATCGACTCTGCTAAGGGCGATGACATGGTGAAAACTGAACATACGCCGACAGACAAGACGGTGGTGGATACTCTGTTCTATTCACTCTGTTTTTCCGATCGGCAAACACATCTCCCACACTTCTAGATTATCCGTCCACTGGCATTACCACTGGGGCTTTCACATGGCCCTCACAGTGGGCTGGATACCCATGAGGTACTAGATTCAAACTGATGTGAGAGACGGACAGCGAAGCTCGCGAACATAATTTGCGTGCAATTGAGTCAAATATTCACTCGAATCCTCGTCACTTCTAGGCCAATATCTTGAGGGCAACATCATGGCAATTTTTTGCCAATAGCATTTTGTCGATGATTCCGCTCCGATTTCCCCATGATTGCACACTATCTAGTGCAAAAACTGAGGATTTCTTATTTGTGTCCTTTTGGGTAGTGCATAGAAGAAAATTGGATGTACTTTTAAGACGATACTCAAGAGAAACCGCCCTTTTAGACAGCTGACTTTAGTCTGCCGACTAGAGTGGAAATCAACGCTAACATCGGTAATAAGCACCATTTTCGGTGGGTCTTTTGAGGTGTCCTTTCGGAGTTGCCTCACTGAGTGCCAGTCTATCCTCAGTCCAGTCAGTTCAAATTTTCAGCTCACGAACGTCCATCGAAGCGCAGCGTTTCCACAGCTTCGTTCACTGAGGATGCAGAGAATAGCCACACGTTGGACACGGCGGCGGCTCAGTCTGTGCATTGCCGATAACTTGATCCGTTTTTTTGTGTGGC